GATGTCAAATTTTATTTAAAATACTCCATTTTCCTTTTCCATTTTAAATAATCTTTTATATTAATTAATCTTATATTATGTAAAATAGGCTACGTAGGTCACTCAATAAGTTTTGAGATGCTCGAAATCTAAAAATTTTATATATTTCTAAAAAGCAAATTTATTTAAAAATAGAACTCCATAAGCCAATTGCTCAATATTAAAAAAAAAACAAAGTTCTATTAATTTTGATGAGCAATTCTTTCTTAGTCTTCAGAGGTGATAAACTTTGTAGCCTTCCTAGTTTGAAGTTGGTTGCCGGTTTCCGCTAAGCTTCAGTTAAGGTAAATTTTTATAAGTACTTTGCTCCCGTGGTGATGTTTCATTTTACCTATATGATAGATGGAATCTGACGAACTATTGTGGGCATAGAAATTACCACAGTTCATTCAGACCTGATAATTATTTTTATAACATTTATTGATTTATTAATATACACACAACAAGACATACATAACAACTGTACAGTTAGTTCGTACAAATGCTCTACTTATTTCATAATTTACTATTCAAAAAAAAAAATTGTAGGTGCTATTAGAAGTAAATACTTTGGTCCCTGTGCGATGTATCATTTTTGCCATATGATAGATGGAATCCGATGAATTGTTACAGGTATTGAGATAATCACAGTTCAATCAGACCTGATAATTAGTTTGTAAATTTTTTTTAAAATAATTCAAACAATTCAAAATTCTTTATTCTATAACTTAGTCTAGTTTTTACAGTATTTCGTGGTTGGAACTTCTTTTAAAGCAAATGCTTTGCTTGTGATAGAAAGCTCGATTTTCCAAAAGAATTTCATTATAAACTAAAGATTCATCAAGGCAGTCATTAAATTGTTGTATACAAAACAAATTATCAATATTTATTAGTTTATATGGTGTTTGAATGTGTGCGTATGTGTAAGTGTGTATAACGTATTGGTATTTTCATCAATTCAAATTTGAACCCCACGAATTATTTGCAGATGAGAAATGCCCCCATCCCCTCTCGGTTGAAAACACTCGATTATAATAGGAACTGTTTACCATAGGACCCGTATAATGTCAGTTCAAATTTCCCATTTTCCAATATCCATTCTTTTAAAAGCATTGTATTCGGTCTCCACATCATTAAATTAAATTCGTATTCAATACGCTTAGGACGGTCTCTGAATCATCCGCTAAGTCAGCGGTTCCCAAAGTGAGCGCCGCAACGCCCAGGTGCGTCGTAGAGAGCAAAAAGTCCTCCTCGCTCCTGTACACCATTCTCTGGACTTACAACAACCGTAAGTGTTCGTGGGTACAAAATAAACAATATATATCGCGCGTGCTACATACGTCACTCACTCGCTGACAGATACTTACGCTCGGAAACGGGTTCAAAATGAATATCCTACTTTAAGTTTATAAGCTCTAAGAATTCTTATTCCTATCGCAACATCTTATCAGATTTATATTGTGAATTTTTAATATTTTGTACCTATCTACCTAGTATTATTGTAACCTATTTCGACTAGCTAGGGCGCTGAGACTTGATACTAAACCTGTCAGTTCGCTGCGAAGTGAAAAAGTTTGGGAACCCCTGCACTAAGCATACCGACGCTATCTGTGATCTAAGAAATTTTATAGAGAGGAATTTTAATATCAACCCGCGCCCGTCCTTTATTAAACTTTACATAAAGGCGTGGAATAAGAACTGCAAAAGTCCGGTGCACGCCTTTGATGCAAAACTCCCACCGAGGGAGAACTTGAGATACGGGTGATGTATAGGTGGAATGTTCCCACGGAGCACGGGCTGTCACGTTGAGCCCGTCCCTCCCGCTGAAAAATGAGGACGATATAACATAGCTATCGTTCAGTAAGCCCCGTCCGATGAAGAAAATATTGCTGGCGCCTGAGCGCTTAGCGATCGACCTGCATGTCCTACAGTATTAGATGTCGTTATGAACTGCGAGATTGAGTTTTAGTCGGTTTTATATTGAAGCATTTTTCAACGTTATTTTATTTAGACAAATTTTTAATGTACTTATAATATTGTATCTATTAACATCGTATCTATCTAGGTAACGGAATCTGTTAATGTAATTTTCACCATCTTGAGACGGCCGATGGACTTCAAAATTCACTGGTAAAGTACCGATGACAATACAATAATTTAATAAATTTATCTTAATTTTCTGATTAGAATCACTAGAATAAAATAAAAAAAAGTTATCAGGATCATCACATGCCAAAATCAATGTGTTTTGTTTAAGATTTTTACACTCTCATATTATTTTGAGTAAGTTTATTTAATTTATAGAAGCGAATGTTTGTTTGTTCGTATTTTATGCGCTGCTATGCCAAAACTTATTGCTTGTTTTTTTTGCGCGAGAGTATAGTCATAGCACAATTAACTTAGATTACATACATTACATTATCACATCTGGCATACGAAAATATCAATTTTACATGCGGACTATGTACCAATATTTGCCTATATATATATATATATATATATATATATATATATATATATATATATATATATATATATATACATGATTAATATTTATTATTATTATACTTGTTCCTTACAATGGAAAACAATTAATTTTAATGAAACTTAATGTATTAAACTAGAAACAAGGAAATATATGCTTGTTTACGCTTACTGAAACATATGAATTCATTTGTTAATTAAGAAACGTGAGGAAGTGTGACGTACAGGCTGGAGTGCTGACGGCTGTACGCTAAAGTGTGTGGAACTCAACAATATTAGAATTAGAGCATAGCTATTTCATTAAGAAGTCGACAAAACAAGAGAAAGGTCTTCGAGAATTAAACTAAATGCTGTCGTTAGCTCCCTTCAAGCGGCAATTGTTTCTGTATAATTAACAATAATACGCTTGCCTATCTGTTACGTGATGACTGTCTTTTCGTCTTTACTCACTAAGATACGAGCACATTAATTGAATATGACAAACATCTACTTACATGTTGAATTAATTGTCTAGAAATAGAATGTGTAAGGTACTAGTACTGGTACTTGATAACTTTAATTTTAATGTTAGCGATCGTTTAGATGTGCTCGTAATAAGAAACAAAATTATCAGTTAAAAACATTATTATCAGTTTTTAACTCAATTATCGTAAGTGCAGGTAATTAAATAATTATATTTTAACTATACAAAATATTTGAATTTTATATCTAGTCGTAGGAATGATATACATATACAGTAGAACGTCGATAAGATAAAGACCAAGGGAAATGATAAATAATTTGAGTTATTGAGGTTTTTACTTACTAAGGGTTTAAGTTAAGGAGTTTTTACTGGTTTATGTTTGTACTTACAGAGCTTCATTTATTAGCTTTGTTTAGGAATTATATCATACATAGATAGACGAGCTAGGTTAAATGCAAATGAAACTTTTAAATGTTAATACATATGTGCGTACATACGTACTTTATTTTAGGTTGAAAGATACATTTATTCAAGTTTATTTTATTCTACATAGTAAAGTTGGTATTATTTTGTTTCAAACTACTCACACTTTCTATATCAATTTTATTTTCAATATTAAATAAATAAGAGAAAATATCATCCTCTGCATCTGTGTTTAAGCTAATGATGCAAATAAGTTACTGAACTCAGACCTTAGTGTATTGTTTACGTTTTAAGTCATTTGGTGAACACGTGTATTATTTATTACATTCCATTATAAAAAAAGATACTGTGTACGATGAACTTAATGCCTAAAGGCATTCTCTAACAGGCAGTCAATACACATTACAATTAACAAAATATATTATGATATAGTAATGAATACTAAAAAAAATACTTCCGATGCTAGGAACGAATATGAAGTGGCACATCTCTATCGACTAGTGTCTTTACATGCGCAAAAGCCAACTTCAGTCCGGCCAAGATAGAGTGCGCGGACAATAAGCAATAACAAAGGTCTACATGGAGCCTTTATTGTTTGCATATTCGTTTAAAATTACTTATTGAGTGATGTAGTTATAACTTTGAGTTACTGGGGTGCGATGCCTAAATTATTCTTTGAAGTTATAGAGTGTTTTTATTTTAAGTAATGGAGGTTTTGGGCTCCGAGTGGAAGGGAACACAATTTACAGAGGTTACTACGTTGTCGGGGTTTAAGTTATCAAGGTTCTACTTATAAATATAATTATGTATTCAACGTTGGGATTTGTTATCTCATTTTATAATTATATTCTGCCAGTTTTTGTGTTCAGTGTTTTTGTGTGTTTTTTTTCAGTGTTTTTCAAGTGGCTCGCAAATAGAAATATATAAATTAATGCTATATACACACATATGGTTCCATGTCACCAGCACTTTTTCCCCTCCTGCGAAACTAAACCACGTATCAAAATATAACATTTTACTCGCAGCAATTTGCAACACCATATTTTGAGATTTTTTTCGCAAAGAATCAAATAATATTTTTTATGCGCGCTTTTAACTCTAAATTCAGGGTTTTATTTTTTAACTTTTTAGCTCGTCGAAAATTATAATTTTTTACCTATATTATTGTTACCGATATATATATTTGGGTAAACACATACTACATAATTTAGAGAAATGCCTCGGTAAGAGACAGATATATTTTGTTGAACTTATAAAGACGCATTAATTAGCTTTACCTAAAATTTTGGTCTTAAAAAATTAATATTTTTTGACTTCCTATATGACAATTTTTCCGTCATACTGCCCTAATGCATGTTGCAGGTTTTCACATGCCTTCGAAATATATTATTTTAATTTTTCTGACATGCAGGTTTCCTCACAATGTTTTCCTTCACGTGGTAAATCAGCACTTAAAATTGCAATTAACAATTTCATTGTTGCTGACAGGGATCGAAACCGTATTGCCTGTGCACTGTGAAGTTTACTGCAAGCGCTTAACCCCTGAACTACCACCACCATTATTATTACAAGACATTTCTGTACCACATTGTTATTATTATGTTTGTTGCAGGCGGACCTCTCGTGCCGCAACACCAAGCAGCAGGTGGGCGCGTTGTTTACGCGCAGCAACTTCGTGACGCTCAAATACGTCACCGACAACTGGGGCACGGACGCCAACGGTTTCAAGCTCGTCATCACGGCCGTTAAAGACCCCAGTAAGTGTTGAATTATGAATAGACAAGAAAGGAATAATTTTTTTCACACGGCTGATTTCTGGATTACAACGAGAGCGCCACCTACCGGGTCACCGGTGTTAATCTAAACCGTCAAGGGACCTATTCAATCACACACAATTTTTTTATCAAAAAGAACTAGTCATTTTTGAGTTTTAACGATACTAATGGGCATCAACTGATTTTTATATGTCAAGACAGTAAATAATTTAATTTATTTACCACTGCTTCAAAAAATAACTTTGTTCTGGAAAGAGCTAGCAGAAAACGGTTTTTATGAGTTTCTCTCATTACTTTTATATATTTAAGTTTCTACGCAGTTTTATTTTATTAGTATATATTTCTTAAGTAAAATTTGATAAAGAATCAAATCTACTCATACGATAAAAGGTAACCGCTTGTTGCTCCAGTTCACCGTTGATTTAAACATGAATAAATTCTACTCTGATCCCGTCCCGTGGGTGTTGTAAGAGATAAAAGGCTTCTTAGGCAAATGTCCGGAATATTTCATCTCCCCGACTACCGGCGATATAACCGTCTCGTATTTATACTACACGTAAAATGGATAGACCGGTGACAAGAAGGAACGGTAGTAACGTCAATGGTGTGCAATCATGCGTTGAGATTACGAAAAATTTTACACGGTAAAGTTACGCTGCAGCTATATTATGATTGTAGAACGAATGGGTCGGCTCGACCGGGGTAGGACCACGCTCTCACAGAACACCAGCGTAAAATAACTTATTATAGCAATATTAAACTTAGCTTAATGTTGTTGTGTTTCGTATGGTGAGTTTAGAGAACCAAAGAACCTTTTTAATGTAAACGAGGCATTCCGTCTTAGTCCTCAGGGGTGACAACGCGTCTGCGTTTTGATTCTATATTTAGAATAAATGTAGATGTCTATGGGCCACAGCATACATTTACCATTAGGTAGGTTGTGTACTCATTTGTCACCAAAGTTTCAACTGACTTCAAAAAAGGAGGAGGTTCTCAATTTGACTGAATTTTTTACGTGTTTTCTACATACTTCAATACCCTGTCAGAAATGAGAGGAGGCCTGTGCCCAGCAGTGGGACGTATTTAGGCTGTAACTTTACTTTACTTTTTTTACCTTAGAACTTTTTCTAGGTAAACTAATTTTGATGATCCCTTTTTTATTTGATAGCTAGTGCTTCTCGTATGGTCCCATATACATTTGATCAAGATAATTAATAGAATCAGGCGTTACTTTGCGGAAATCCTTTATAATAAAGATATCAATATATATCGTAGCAGCCAGATTAATCAAACCTAAACGGGAATAAATAATATATACTCCGCTGCTACCATAACGCGGAAGGCGAGAATAAATAAAAAAAACATTTTATTTCCTAATTATTCTTGGCTACTGAGATACTGCGGACTGTATATAGATAATTTGACGTTCTTATAAAGAAACAAGAAGCAGCCGCAAATATCATTCAGCGCCACACCGACTTCACACGCCGCTATCGTCACGTATCCGTCGACCAATGGTGAGCCGTTTCTTCAACGCCGCAGTTCGTTTCCTCTTGCTGTTCCGGAGCGGTATTCCACACCCCCGCCGCCCGCCGACTACGCGTGCGCATTTTTTTTTTTTTTTTGCGCCCGAAGCAATTAAAGGGCTACCCTGTACGTAGGGAGGCGGAAAATGCATTACGCATACCACGATAGCCGGTCTATCGTGGTTATGGGGGACTCACTGTCCTACCGGGGACCCTAAGTGATACCCCCTAAAAACCGCCTTTAGGGACAGGCAACCGGCTGATTAAGCTCTATTGTGCCTTATCATGAGCGACCCTCTTTTGGGAAAAGAGGGCGCAGGCGGCTAAGTGCCGCTGAGGGAGTGCCTACGAAGGCAAATTAATGTCAGATATTACAATAATTTTATTTAATTAGAGTTGGCCTGAGCTGCCAGGAGACAGTTCAGGTCGTTTGAAAGTTTATTAGGCGGGTCCGAGAGAGAGTTTCTCGGCCTGCGGACACGATAGCGAGAGGGGGGTGGGGCTGCATAAGAAGCTGCCTCACGAATTAAGTGGTTTGGGTGCGGCTCTGAGGCTTTGAAGAAGTTCTCAGAGAGTTTTTTAAGAAATTGCTGAATTGTTGGGAGCTCTAAGTCCCGATGAAGGTCGGCATTGCGGACGTACCACGGTGCGTTCGCAGCTCGACGACAGAATAGGTTCTGAACTATTTGGAGTTCATTTAAAATGTTAGGGTTTGCGTGGGCAAAGACGGGGCCCGCGTAGGACATGACTGGTCGTATACATACCTTATAGAGTGTACGCTTGTTTCGAAGGGACATTTTACTGTGTCGGCCCAACATACTGTTGAGCCTACTCAGATAAAAACGTGCGTGACGGGTTACTCTTTTGACGTGGGGCTTGAAAGTGAGCCCTGTGTCTAGAGTGACACCTAAATATTTGGCGGACGTATGCCAGGGGACAGGGGTCCCTAGCATACGTATTGGTGGAGTGTTTTTGAGACGGCGTCGTTTATAATCGAAGTGAACGGCGGAGCTCTTCTCCGGGTTCACATCGATGCGCCATTTTTTTGAACCAAGCTCCTAGGTCATCAACTGACTTTTGGATCTTGTTCCGTATGAAGGGTAGTGAGACACCTTTGCAGTAGATGGCAGTGTCGTCTGCAAAGAGGGAGAGTTGAACACCTTTCGACGGGATGGGAATGTCGTTGGTGAATATGATGTACAGCAGAGGAGCAAGTACTGAGCCCTGAGGGACACCAGCCTTGATAGTTCGCTGTGAAGAGAGCGTGCCTTCGTGTCTGAAACGAAAGGTACGATGTTTTAAATAGGAGGCCACGAGACGAACTAGACGATCGGGGAGACCTATTTTATAGAGCTTGTAGATAAGGCCTGTGTGCCAGACTCTATCGAAAGCTTTGGCTATATCGAAAAAGACCGCGATGGTCTTATGACGACGAGGATAGAAACCGCTGAGGATATATTCCACAATGCGGTGAACTTGTTGGGGACATGAGTGTTTGGCTCGGAAGCCGAATTGATGGGGAATGATAAGAGGGTCGCCGTCTGTGGGAAACAGGTAGCGCCTCATACGACTTTGGATGACTCTTTCGAAGAGCTTGCCCATTGCCTTGAGGAGGCTAATGGGGCGATGGCTGGAGGGGGAGGTTGAGAGGCTTGCCTGGCTTGGGAATTCCAATCACAGTAGCCTCTTTCCACGTAGTGGGAAAATAACTAAGGTTGAAGCAGGCGTTGAAGATAATAGATAAAAAGGTTAACACCTGCTCGGGAAAGTGTTTTAGGGCTTGGTTGGAGATGCCATCCGCGCCCGGAGCCTTTTTAGGCTTAAGTCCTTTGATGAGGGATGAGATCTCATCATTGGACACAGAGATAGGTTCGGAGGCCGTGGGGGGGTGAGCTCCGGCGGCGGACCTCATCCTCCACTGCCTGGACGTGTGAGGGGTCGACGGGTTGAGAACTGGGAGAGCATTGAGCGGCAATGCTATCTGCAAAGCACTCAGCCTTTTCCTCGTCCTCGAAGGCAACCGTGCCGTCGGGACGGGAGAGAGGGGGAGTGTGGGTGATAGCGTCTATGCGGAGGGCTCTAGCCATCTGATAGTACGCTGTGTGAGATGGAGAGATATTCTCCATGAGCTTACTCTTTTCGAGGTCTCGAAATACAGAGAGGCGGAAGCGGAGTTCTCGTTGAAGACGATTGGCCGCGCGCCTATATTCGGGGGTGGGATATTTTGCTGCTCTCCGGAAAGCAGCTTTTTTGGCTTTTATTAGGTTGCTAATATGTAGGGGAAGCCCACTATTGTTAGCAACCGGGACGACCCTTTCGTTCTCCTTAAGGGAGGATTTAATAAGGGTGGAGAGTGAGTCGACCGCGGTGTCGATTTTTTCGGGACTATCTAAGTCCGACGGTAGGGAGATGGTAGAGTCCTGTGAGTCCAAAGCTTTAGCTAGGGACTCCTTGAATCCCTTCCAGTTAGTGAAGGTTTTCGTGTGTGTTGGGGGAGGTGGCTGATGGCCAAGAATGAGGGAGACCGGTCGGTGATCTGATCCTAGATCGTCTAGTGTCTCGATTGCTCCGAGGTTGAGAGAAACTCCTTGGAGTAACGCAAAATCTAACACATCGGGGGCGTGATCGGTGTTATCGGGAAAGTGAGTAACACCGAGAGGACTATGGACGGTAATATCAAGAGACTGCGTGATATCGAGCAGTATCTTGCCACTAGGGGACGTAGTGCGGCATGTCCATTCAGTATGCTTGGAGTTAAAATCTCCAAACATAATGACTGAATTGCCTAAAGATAAAATGGCCTCAAAATCCTTTTTAAGGGGATAGGTTCCTGAAGGGATGTAACAGGAGGCTATGAGGATGGACTGATGTCCAGTCATAGCTAGCCTGCATACCGTGGCTTCCATGTTGGTAAGCTGCGGAGTAGAAATGGGCGAGCAATGAAGTGTCTTCTTGTAATAGATGGCCGTTCCGCCGCCTCGGCGGTCGGGTCTGTCGTTACGAAGAAGAGAGAAGTTTTTAATAGAAAGGCCTCTAGTGTCCTTATCTTTGAGATTAGTTTCCTGTAGGAGGAGGAAATCGACTTCACGATTCCGAAGAAAGAGCTTGAGCTCTGGGAGGTTATTTCGCAAGCCGCGAATATTAAATGATACAAGCGATAAACCCTTAGGTTTGATACGACCGTGAGATCTAGGTAGGTTAATTCTCTCAGTCATTGAAGTTAAGTTAATTAAGTTAACCTAACTTACAACGCTAACAAAAGGTTATTGTGCTCCGCAAGAACGAGGAGACGTTCTTGGGGGGACTTGGCCGCGCGCAGTTTGCGTGATACAACTGTTATTTCCCTAACGTCGATATTCCTAATAGCGGAATATAGCGTGTTGTAGTCGTCGATTGTGGGCTCTGCTTCATGAGCGTACGAGGTTGTCCTCGGTGGGTCTGCCTTTTTGGGCCCCC